GCCCTGCATCCTCTTTCTGCGGCGGCCACCTTTGGCTATGGGACGAGGGTAGAATGTGTAATGAATTGCTTGTTTAATTAATTACGACCCTCGAAGCGGCGCTCCAGTTCGAACGAGCCATCGGGTCCCGCTCCTTCCTCCTCCTCCTAGGACCCCGCCTCTTTCGAATAGAATTCATAGGGCTGATTATTTATCGCTGGCCGAGTGAAAGAAGGGTCCAATGATTCATGCCTCGGAAGAATAGTTTGTTTTGTAAACAAAGTTTCGAGCGGAGGAAGGAATCTCCTCTCGTTCTCCTCCATGGTCGTTTCGTTTTCGTGTTGAAGAGTGACGTTGCCGATTTTTACTCGATTTTTCTTTAGATTGGATGGAAGTAGAACTCGTATCGAATGAGGCATTTGTTTGATTCGTGGGATCTTCAAATTCGTAGGATTATCATTAGCCGGGTGAAAGAAGAATCCAATGATTCGAGTTTGTTTGTAATCGATTCGAGAGAAGGGAAATGGCCACTTTTGGTTGATTCAATTTATGTCCATACTTGATTTCGAAGAAAGTCGAACAAGTCTCCGTATCCCTTCTTTCTCCTAGAATCTCTTCTTAATAGAACTATAGATTTAATTTCTTGCTAGTCGAAAGATGGATTTTATTTTTATGACGCTGTCCACACACATTCTTCCTCTTCTTGATCGTGCGAAAGAAGATGTTGTTGATCTCTTTCGTCGAAGAATTCGATTAGATTTAGGGGAGCAGTTGCCGCGGCGGAAGTGTTCGAAGCGTGGAAGCAGCGATCAATTAATTAGCCCGCTACTCGATTGAATTTAATTCGCGAAGTAGAACGAAAGTAGAAACAGGCGGGGAGTTGCGGGTGTCTGGGAACTCGTTTCACGGTGTCACGATTCCGGAGGATAGTAGGATGATAAAATTAGGGAGCGTGTCAAAGCCGAGGAAGCGTCGCTCGTTTAAAGAAACGCCGATCCGGCCACCCGCAACGCCCGTTAATCCTTTTATCTCGTGCCGCGCCCCCACCCCATCCCTCCGTTCCGCTGCAAATATTTTCTTTCGGGCCAGATGTAACGCGCCGCCCGTCCTCCAAAATAAAATCGATCCAAACCACGTCGCGTTACATCCCGGAAAACAATCTTCGATAAGCAGCCCCGCTTACAACCAGCCATACATTCAAACTATTTTTACGACGGAGATGAATCCTAATTTAGCGTTGCTTTGAAGTCAACAAGCTTATTCTTTAACGGAGAATCGCGTCGATCCTTATTCCGTCCGCATCAACGCTCGATAACTTTCTCCCCCAATCCCAACTTCCTTGAGATGGCTCAATCTCTCGTCTGGGCGGTAGATTAACAAACAGGATTGGGGGAGAGGGAGCGGTAAATTTCGATTCTCCGACGTAATACCGGCTCCGTTCGTTCGGAGAGGAACCCGTTGACACGCGTCGCCGCGAAATAACCGACGGCTAGGAGGGTGATCGTGCGTCTGAGGAAGGTGGTGGGCACACTCCTCTCTCTCTCTCTCTCTCTCTCTCTCTGTGCGCGTGTGTCTGAGGCGGGAAACTTGGGAGGCGTCGCACAATATCTCCGCGGCTAAACACCGCAGCCCTTTATCAATGTTATGGCGGCCGGCCGTGGTTATAAATAATGGCAATTGCGCGAAACTTAACCCGGCGAGAGAACCGCACGCCCGCCCCGGGGCCATTCCCCAACTTGCGGCCGAGGACGCCTCCCCGTCGCGAGTTACGTCCGCGATCTCCGCTCCTCCTCCGTTCTAACGTTCTTTTTTTCTAACGATCGCCATGAATCCTTTCAACAAGCGAGATACATTGCGAATAAATAAATATTGTAAAATGTGTCGCGAAATATCGAGGATCGTTCAGAAAGTAATGATGCGTAGAATTCAGAATTTCGTTTCTGAATGAATTGCGTTTCTGTTATTCGTGTTTTGGTTTTCTTTTTTTTTCTGTTTAAGTGAAAATCGAAAGTGGAAGATCGAAATCGGTTTGGGGATGGGAAGATGTTCGAACATCTTGGATTTGGATCTTATTATTTATTCGTATAATCTGTATGCGGGTATTCGATAAATCGAGGAGATGGTCGAAAAATAATCGAGATTCTCGCGCTTTTGAACGATTCTCGTATCTTTTAGGATTTGTATAAAATTGTCCCCGACCAACGGAGTTGAAAATTATGATTAACGAGATGTAATTTAAATAATAAATAATTTCAGCAATGCTTACAGTGATACTCACTGGTCTTGGATCGCGGTTCTCGCGGCCCGTCCACGGTTACTTTAATGGCCTTGGTGTACGTGGCGACTTGCGGCGGGGTCGTGGACACGGTAATCGTCAACGTGAAGCTCTTCCCTGGAAAAATAATTATTTTCGTATTTTTTTCCTTCCCTTTTCCTCATTTCAATCAATGATCGAAACGAAAGTTTTCGCGGCCGAAACGTGGCTGGCCGACCCGTGAAACTTGGCGGTAACCGAATTAACCGTCGGTAATGTATCGAGGGCGTCCTGGACGGCGAGACGGTCAGCCAGCCAACGCGACCGACCTGTAGGGGTGGTTGCGTCCGCTTGTGTCGAAAAGCCTATCAGAGGGCGTCGCTGCGAAAGAAAAAACAACGATCTTTCCTCGAAAGTTCCTCGAAAGTTTCTCGTGAAACTTTTCCACGAGTAATACAATTTTTCGAAAAAATTCAAAGCGGAAAACGTCGAAATCGAATGTTAATCTGTTGCCACGTGATGTACGCGACGTTAAAAGGCAAGGAGAAGGACGAGGAGGATGATTCAAAGGGGACACGTCTTGGAAATCACGCGAGTTTCGATGAAACGTTCGTTAAAGAGGGGACAATGTTGCGTTAAAAAAGAAGCGGTGGCACGCAGAACACGGTGGTCGCACACGCAGAGGTTCACCGCAATTCCACGTGCACCCTCTTTCGCTCTTTTTCTCTCTTCCTCTCTCTCTCTCCCTCGTCGAGCGATCGCCGATCGCGTGGCTTTTTCTCTCTCCAATCCCTTCCTAACGCTACACACGATTCTAAAACTGAATCACCGTTATACGACTCGTATCACGCTATCGCATCCAACTTCCCTTCAAGTATCGACGCTTCTTCGAAAAAGAGAGAGAAAGAGGGAAGAGAAAAGTAACGTTAAATTCCGTTAAATTATATAAACTCCATTCTTAGAATTAGACGAACTTTTGATTCGTCAAATTCTGCATTCCATGCATTTCTATTCTCTAACTATAATAATTCTCTAACTATAATATCAGTCTATCGAATAAATAAATGGATATTAAAATTAGGATATCATTTCACCTTCCAATAGACGAAACGAAAGGAAACGGACAATTTACCTAATTTCAGACATAAAAAATTTGCACGAGTTCGTGGAAATGTTTGACGGACGGTTTCAAAGGTTTGTTTCTTAGGCGGTAAGATTTAGCGCGAATGAGAAAAGAACGCGGGGAGAAAGATTATGGAGGGAATAATGGCGAGTGTCGAGCGTGGCCACACGGTGGTTCACCACGCGAGCTTCTCGTTTTCGAACGGGGGCGAGTCCCGTCAGTTTTGTTGCAAGTCACGGCATCCCTTCCTATGACCTAACCCTGGCAAACCTTTTCACCCGTTGCTCGAGTCGATGGTTCCGCACAGCCAGCTCGGCACACGTAGTTAGGTATCACCCTTGGTGCCAGTCGCCGTCGAACCGTTAAAGGTCACACCCCCGATAACGCCACCCTTTCTTTCCATCCGCCGGCGTTAAACCCATTCTCCAACGGCAATTTTTTTTTTTTCCTCCTCCTCCTCCTCCTCCCTTCGAAATTTCTTTCCATCTTTTAAATCTGCCCGTTTATTACCACCGCGTGTGTGGTACGTTATGGCTTGCTTGATTAAAATTTTCGCCCCTCCCTTCTTCGAAATCGAATATCCCTTTCCATCTCGAATATCTCTTCGACTAGGAGGAACGGCTCTGCTCCTCCGCAATTTGGGGAGGGAATTATTTAGAATTTCGAGAGAGCGCACGGTGAAATCGATTTTTAATTCGACGGAAACAATCGTTGTGGACAAATATTAAGGGGACGAAGCGGAACGATCTCGATAACGATCGCGTTAACGCGCGATTCTCAGGGAAAATGTGGATCCTGATACGTGTATCGTATATTCGTCGAGTTAACTAATTAATTTCAATTTTCGCAAAACGAGAATCGCGTTGTTTTATACAACGATAATATCGATTATGTCAGGACGAACGTCCGAATTTTCTCCAAAAATCATCGCCTCGAAATATTCCTCCTCGATCTCGTGCAATATCTTCTTCTTCCAATATCGCACGATATTATATTCGCAATTTTTCTCGCGGTTAAAAAAAGAAAGAAAGAAAGAAAGGTCTTCTTCTCCGTTCGAATTACGATTTTTGGGATAGAAATAGTCTCTTTTGGCTCGAAACCAGAAGCGCATGGCTCAAGAATATCGATGATAAGCTATGACCCTGTTCCCGCACGTTCATCCGTAATGCCGGCTCCAACGCGGCAAAGTCTGAATCGTTTCCAACCCCCTTCAAGCCTAAGCTCTGTAACGAGATAGATCATTTGGGCGCTTATAGTTTCAACCCTAGCAGCCAGATGGGATACCCTTCAACTTTGCACACGCGAACGAACCTCGTATCTCCAGTCTACGTCGACAACATCTTCACCCTTTCCACCCTCGAATATTCGTAAAATAAAATTTGTATCAACGAAACGACGACGCGGATCGCGATTCGCGAGTTCGATCTTGGAGAGGGATAATTTTTCCCAGAATTTTCCCTCCCACTCCCTCACGGGAATTCCAGGATAATACTCATGGAAGCAGAACGGAAGCCCCTCCAGATGAGGGGGCCACGTACAGAGGAATGAATCCTCGAGTTCGACAAACGGGCGGATCATTAGGGATTCGCGCATCGGTCGTCCCGGGGAATATTCAAGGAGGCGAAGGAACGAAGTCGCAGGAATCCAGGACGAGAGACGCTTCTCTTACATTCTTCATCCTAGCTTATGTTAATTCCTCGCTCGACGAAAACAATTGAGAGCTAATCCCAGACAAATGACTGACGCGTTTCCGTGAGCTCCGCGCGAGGGTCGTCGACGATTCGCTCGCCCCCCTCCTCGTTTCCCGGATAGAAAATTCGGGTATTCCATGGTTTCCAAACACCCTCTATCCCTCTATCCCCGATTCCTCCTTCGCAAACTATTCAGCTTTTCTCCTAGCGCCGACGATCTTCAACATTGTGTAATCGATTCGCCTCGGTCGGTTGATAATTCGACGTTGTTGGAAAAGAAAACAAAAAAAAAAAGAGAAAAAAAGAAAGTCCAATTCCATTCGACAACCGAATGGAACGATCCGTGGATAATTTTGACGAAGGGAGAGGGAGGGGGGACAAGGTAAGAGTAAGAAGTAGGTCGGAAGAGGGTTCTCGACCGATCGGCAGGCGACGCGAAACAACCCTGTAATAACGTTAATTAAAATCCCAAATGAAACCTCAATTAATATCCTGTCCCCCTCGTTTTCGTGGGGCGTCGCCTCCTTTTCACTCCCCCCCACCTCTCCTCGTGGAACGAGAGGCCGTTCTCGGGGGGAGGGAGGGGGAGAGACGACTCGGAAGAAGGAAAGTAAAGAGGAGGTTGCTCGGCGGCGGCGATGGTGGTGGTGCGGACAAATAAAACCCATTACCCACCCCAAGACATCGTCGCCTCCTCGAGTTTCGGCTGGCACACCAATCAACGCCTCGGCAACCCCTGCGAAACGTCCAATTTCGAGGTCGTGACGAGGCTTACTTAGAGGATTCTTTTCCCCGGCGAGGGAAAAACGGCGAGGGTCGGCGTCGTCGTCGTCGTCGTCTCCCGAGACGACGTGCCCGACCTACCCTTACTACGAGCCTCGATTCTTCTTCGAGGTTGCCTCTTTCCTCCCCTTTTCTTAACGCAGCTCGTCAAGGCGAAGGGCGAAGATCAACAAGCTCCCGTGTTCGATGAATGAACGAACGAACGAAGAGGAGGAAGAAGAAGGAAGGAATACAATCGGCAACTAATTTCACTAGTTTCCTCGTCGAGCGACGAGAAAGATCGTTCGACGAACTCGCGAAACGATGAAGATGATGGAAGCGAGTCGCCGTTTCTTAACGTCAACTCACCTCTCCCGCTTCTCCCGACGAACCTCAGATCGTTGAACTTGGCCACCTGGTTCTTCATCAGGGCGGTGGAGTTTCTCAACTCGGCGCAGCAATTCTCGTCGTTGCCCGCACGAAGGGTGGCCGGGGTACGGTCCCCGGCCTCGCCGAGGGCCACCACCTTGAACGCGACAGGGAGGGTCTTGTTCGACCTCCAATGGGCTGGTAGGACGGTGCACGCCAGGTGCGGGGAGCCTTAGGGGTCGAAATCGAGGCGGTGCGTTACGTCCATACGTCGTGTCCCCCGCCGCTCTTTCGCTCTTTCCCTACCTGTTCGCACGAGTTCTCCGGGGTGCTCGCTGACAGAGTCGCCGAGAGTCCTCGCGGCGAGGATGTCGCTGGTCATCTTGGTGGAGGCATCGGGCAAAGGAGAACCGCCCGACTCCGGCGAGGCGGCAACGCCGGGAGCCGAGGCTCCTGCCAACTGCACCCTGCCGCCGGTTCCGCCCCTCCCCCTGGCACCGCTCGCCGTTGTTCTACAGCTCGACTCGTTGCCGGACCCCCTCACCGAGCCAGCGCCGCTTCCGGATACCGTGCTTCTTCCGCCGCCGCCGCCGTTGCAACGGCCGAATATATCCATAGGCAGTCACAACGCCGGATGATACATCCTTCCATTCGGTTCACTGCTCCGACATCCCACCTATTCCCTCCTCCCGCGTTCCTCCGCCCGCCTTTTCCTGGGTCAGCCTTCCAGACTCCACATAACTGGGCCACTCGCTCGACTTCGATCCTTCTTCGACTCTTTCCTTCGATTCTCCAGAATCGAGCCAGGGAGGGGTAGGAAAAAAAAAATCACAGGGGTTATAGGTTTCGACGCGACACTGTCCCAACTCGATTTCTCCTTTCTCTTCTTTTTCTTCTTTCGTCGGGAGGACGAAGGGAGTCGTTGCCCCTCGCCCCTCGATGCAAACGCTATCGACGCGCGATCCAAGAGCAGCCTCGAGATCCCTCGACCTCACCTGCAACCGAGAAAATTCAGCCACGGTCAGTAGTCGGATCGACCGATGGATCTCTTGGAAGCAGGATCGAAGGAGGATCGAGGCGAGGGTGGGTGAAAGAAGGGTTGA